AAGTTTCCTTTTTGACTGCATGAGCTCCAAAATTTTTATTTTTTAAGAAAATCTTTATTTTTACAATTTTTTTTAAAGTATTGTGTGGACATGTATGTGAAAGTCAAAGGACAGCTTACAGAAATTGTTTTGGAGTGAATGCTCTCTTACATGTAGATTCTAGGGATTGGACTTTGGGTTCCCTGGCTGGACATCAAGTGCCGTTTGCCACTGAGCCAGCCCTCCCTCCCTACTGAGCCATCTTACTGACTGCATTTAAAAGATACTTAATCAAATGAATTAACTTTTTGGAGGCAGGATCTCACTGTGTACCTCTGGCTGGCCTGAAACTCAACAGAGATTGGTCTGCTTCTGCTTTCTCCTACTGAGTGCTGGGATTAAAGGCCTGTGTATACCATGCTTGTGGAGGTTAGAGGACAGCTAATGGGAATAGGTCTTTCCTTCACTGGGTGGGTCCTGAGGATGATGCTCAAGCTGGCTGTCTTGGCAACAAGAACCTTTATCTACTGAGCCATATCGTTTTATTTATTTTTTCCAGTCTTTAAAAAAAACTAATTAAGGCTAGAGAGATGGCTCAGTGGTTAAGAGAGTTTGCTGCTCTTCCAGAAGACCCTATTTCAGTTCTTAGCACCTATTTTTGTTGCCTTCCTGGAGCACTCACACACATACCAGAAGATAAATCTTAATTTATGTATATTAATAAAAATGAAGCTTTTCCAAATTAGCATAAAATTTATGGGTCTTATTTTGGCAATTTCAAACATGTACAATTGTTTTATTCATTATGCCATGCTTTTGTTATTTACCAATATATACCATGTCTAACAGTGTGTTGACCTATATAAGTGCTCAGTATTTATTGTAAGCAGGAATGAGTCAATAAGTGATTGTAGCTCATGATCTGTATAGTGTGTTGACCCTGAGTGAACATTTGAAGTACTTAAGTAATGCCTTTCAAAGTGGTGGACCACCTTATCCTTCACTCCATTAAAAAAAATATAGTAAAACTTATTTCCTTAAAAATATTAAATATGGCAGGGCAGTGGTGACACACACTTTTTTTTTTTTTTTTTTTTTTTTTTTGAGGGTAGCATGGTCTATAGAGTAAGTTCCAGTACAGCCAGAACTACACAGAGAAACCCTATCATGGAAATAATCAATTTAAAAAATGAGACATAAATTTATTTGTATTTGTTATCCTTATCGATTTTAATAGATCTATAATGGGTTAATTCAATTTCTGTGAAAAGGGAATTCTAAAAGGTTAAGTTTGAAAGTTGCTTCTGATTTCTGGGCCTTGGTTCCTATAGCACTGACCTAGACAATTCTTAGGGATACTGAGTTGGTATTCAAAAGGGAAAGATTGGTTTATGGAGGGGGTGGACTTAAAGAAAATAGAGAAGAACTTGAAGCTGATGATAAAGGCCCATAGTCTCAGGCACTAGATAGTCAAAGTCAGGAAAAATACACATAATTAATTCATGGCCAGCCATGTTCTACTGCAGTGGTTCTCAACTCTTCTAAGTGCTGTAACCCATTAATACAGTTCCTCATGTTGTGTTACCCCCCAACAATAAAATTGTTTTCATTGTTACTTCATAATTGTAATTTGCCACTGTTATGAGTTTTAATGTAAATACTTGTGCTTTCTTAGGCAACCCTGTAGAAGGGTTGTGTGTGTGCACACACACACACACGCTATCCCTGAAGTCATGACTCACAGGTTGAGAACCACTGTATTACTGAGTCAGTTAAAGGCTATCTTGGGCAACTTAGTGAGAATGTCTCAAAGTAAAAAGAAGGCATATAGTCCAGTGACAGAGTACTTGCCTAGCATGTACAAAGCCTTAGGCTCAATCCTCCCACCCCTAAAAGAAGAGGGCAATACAGAGAATTTGGAGAGGAAAGGGTTTGCCTAAAATCCTGAGTTTCTACCAGTTTTTAGATAAGTTGTAATTTATGTATATTAAACATGCTTTTGCTTCTAACTGAATCAATGATGTAAAGTTAGAAAAGGCATGTACATGTGGGAAGAAAGGACCAGCCCATGCAGTTGGCTTCTAATATAATATAAATGAATAAGCCTCTGCAAAAAGAACTGTTAACTTATTATTAAAACATATCCTGAATGCCATTGGGTTTCTGTTACTCTTCTCTGGAATACAAACATGAGAGATTAGCAACGTTTTAATAAAATGCTACTAAAATTGATAAAGTTATTAGGGTCATATTGTAAGAAATGTCACCTATTGTTTCATTACTCAATGGTACCTTCTTGTTTTAATCATGGAAGCCTGGTTTCTGTTGAGACAGTAAAGTTAAAATGCTAAAATAGTTATATTTTACAATGGCCAATGACCTGCCATATTTCTTCTTCCCTTCCACTCCCTTTTTTCCTTTTCTTTCTTTCTTTTCAGATAGGGCTTCTTCGTGTAGTCCTAGCTTTCATTGAACTCAGGATTTTGCCTCAGCCTTCCTAGTGCTGGAACACAGAGGCATACCACCAGTCTCTCATCCACAGCTTTAAATTGACAGTGTAAAGGAAAACCAGTAAGACCGTGAATTCCAAAGTAGGTTTTTCAGCATGCATGTGGTATATATACACCCATGCATGGGTATGTGGAGCTTTCAGTTTTATTTTTTTTACTTATTTTATTATTTCACTTTTATTTTTCAATTTAATTAATTTATTGAGACAATGTCTTACTGTATAGCACCGACTGACCAGAAAACTTCCTATGTAGATCAGGCTGATCTCTATTTCCCAAGTACTGGCATTAAAGGTATCCACTTCCATCCTTAGCTGTTGTTGTTGTTGTTATTATTAGTTTGAGACAGTGTCTCACTGAACCTACAGTTTGTCAATTGGCCAGGCAAGTCAGCCTGTCTGTTCCCAGTGTTGGTATGCCAGGCCTCTTCTGTGGATACTGAACATTCAAACTCCATCCTTGTGCTTTTTATTTTACCTCTGAATCATCTCCCTATTTGCTTTCAAAATAACTTTTTAAGAGGATAGCTTGGCCAAGTGGTGGTGGTGCACACATTTAATCCCAGTACTTGGGAGGAAAAGCAGGCAGATCTCTGTGAGGTGGCAAGGCTGGCTACGGAGTAAGTTGCAGGACTACATGGAGAAACCCTGTCTCGAAAAATAAAACAACAACAAAAAAGAGGATAGATTAATCCTATGGCAATTATATAATCATAGGAAGTGGTAGCCATCCCTTTTGTTGTTTAGAAAGACATTCTCATAGGACCAAGTTCAAATCTCTGTAGGCAAAGCTCTTCCTGAATTCCTGATTCTCCTTTCTTTACCTCCCAGATGTCAGGGTTATGAGTATGTTCCACTACATGCAGATACTACATACATACACATAAAAATCATTTTGAAAAAGGAGAAAGAATTTTTCAAACCTTTAGACATTTCTTCGTCTCACATAGCTATGAACCATTCCTGCTACATCAAGTATAACTGTAAGAACTAGCAGGAAGGCTGTGGATACAAGTCAGTGGTAGAATGCTTGCCTGAGACCCTGAGTTACATACCCAGTAATACCTTTGAAGAACTATCAGTTCTTGGGGAGGTTGGATAAAGCCAAATGATAAAAAAAGATGTGAACTATTTAATAGAGGTGGAAATTTAGTACTGTTTATATCCCAGAAATCCCTGACTAATTAGAATGGAGAAATACAGAGAACCATAAGTAACGGGCGTGTTGGCTGTGTGTTATTTCAATTTATTTATTTATTTATTTATTTATTTATTTTTTTTTTTTTTTTTTTTTTGAGATAGGAGCTTTGTATGTAGCCCAGGCTGGCCTTGAACTTGAGGCAGCCCTTCTGCATTTCAAATGCTGGACTCACCCAAATATGTTAGTATTCTCCCAATAACTACTTAATGCTAGATTCTGCAACAATATGAAAAATACCCTCTGTGGTTGTTCAGTTATAAAAGATTTCTAAATTAGAGCATAGAGGTAAATGGCTTTCATAGATTTAGCATTCCTTGATAGTTTTTGAGAAGTTGTTAGGTTTGGATGTTAAATTTTAAGTGAAGATCTTGGAATAGTGGGAAAGACTTGGAAATGTACCTACTGAATAAATGTTTGTGATGCAAGAATATCCTTAAGTTTACAGGATAAGATTACAGGTATTAAAGTAGGAGTGTTAGGTATGATAGGACTGGGAGATTTTGTAGAATTTGAAATGGTTGCAGTTGGTGGGGAATCTAATGCAAAGTCTTAGAGAAACAGCAAGTACTGGTTACATAATTTAGAAAAGTAACTAGGAACTTACATCACAGTCATTTTTGTCAGTTTAATAAGAGGTAAAGCTAACTCAAAAGCACCGTTTGTGACAGCCCCCTTTAAAGTTAGTATTCTGGTAATTTGGATTTTGGAAATTAAGTGTATCTGTTCTAACATCTGCTAAAAGGATACTGTCTGTATGTTAAAGAGTCCTGACTCTTATCTATAATCATTAATACTTTGTTACTATACAGACATTTTAGAGTCCTTATTAGGCTGATGTAATGACTCAGCAGGTAAAATGCTTGCTCTACAAGCCTGACAGTAAGAATTCAATCCCCAGAACCCACATAAAAGTGAATGGACAGAACTGAGTCCAAAACAGTGGTCCTCCAAACTTTGCACATAATGCTGTTGCATATGAGTATCCATATCACACACACAAATAATACATTTAAGAAGAGATTTGTTTAGCTGTACTCAAATATTATTAAAACTTGATCTGTCTTTGGGATCTTTACTTTGTTAAGTTCTGAGAATTTTTATATTAGACTAGGAATAAGTGGCATTGTCAATTTCTTTAAAACTCCATATGTCTCTTAATCAGAATGGTGAATTTAGTTTGATACCTAATAGAGTGGACAGACTAGAATTCAGGTAAATTAAGTAGATGTTTTTTGAAAGTACTTGAAAATCTTTACAAAAATTAACCCCTTCTGGTATATTATATATAATCTCCCCCTTTATCTTATGCAGCTCAAAGAAAATGAACGGCACCCTGGACCACCCAGACCAACCAGATCTTGATGCTATCAAGATGTTTGTGGGCCAGGTTCCCAGGACCTGGTCTGAGAAGGACTTAAGGGAGCTTTTTGAGCAGTATGGTGCTGTCTATGAAATCAACATCCTAAGGGATAGGAGCCAAAACCCTCCTCAGAGCAAAGGTGAGGTGTTTTATTTTTATCTATTCATTTATTTGTTTTTATTATAGTTCATAATATATGTGGAGGTCAGAGGACAAATTGATATACTAGATTTTCTCCATTATGTGAATCCTAGGCATTGAAACTCAAAGGTTAGACTTGGTAGGAGTGCCTTTACAACATGCTTGCTAGACAGAGTTTTGGGGTGTTTTAACACAGTGCAAATAATTGTTTAGCTTTTTAAATTATTTTTGTTTTGTTTTGAGACAGGGTGTGGTCTCTCTTTAGCTCTGGCTGTCCTGGAACTTGCTATGTAGACCAGGCTGGCCTTGAACTCAAGAACTCCTCCTGCCTCTGCTTCCTGAGTGCTAGGATTAAAGGTGTGTGCCACACACAGCTGGATTATATTTTTAATTCCTATAATATACTATACATTCTATCACTGGTTGTCAGGGTATTTCTGTGACTATATGAGGGAAGGTGTTCTTACATATCAGCTATATTTTTTTAATCCAAACACATTTAATGGCTTAAAAATAAAATACTAAAGTGACCTCATGAGGATTTGTAAAATGCACCTGGGCAGTTCTGTGTAAGTGCTCACAGAGCTATGTGTCTCATTTGATTTAGGAATGGAATGCTTAAAATAGTAAGTAAACTAGCCACGTGAGGTAGGTTTTTTGTTTTTTTTTTTTTGGACTAGAATAAACTAATCTACAGAAGCCTTTATAGGACAATTGTTCAACTGAGTAGGGCTAAATTTAGGCAATTTCTTAGCAATAGCCTAGAAAATGGATAGGAAAAGAAACGTTAGGCTCTTCCAGGGATCACAGCAGCATGTGCATTTCAGGAGGCCAATATTAAGTGGCAACATTAGCTTTACTTGTACACAAACATACTCTATTCTCCAAATAATCAATTTTAGAGTGACTCTTTGTTAAAGCTATTCTCCAGTACAAACGTGAGGAGTATGATTGTCGTGTGTGCACAAGTTAATGAGTTAGGCTCTAAAAACAGATGAATTTTCTCCACATGGAATAGCTAACCAGAAATAAAAGTTGTAATATCTGGAAATGTTTGGTTATACAACATTAATTTTAAAGTGTTGCATAATATTGAGAGAACTATTGTATTTTGTGAGAATATACAAGTATCAGAACACTGAAGCCCAAAATTTTTTAAGACCTTTCTATCTCTAATCCAAATACTAAACAAAGTACAAAATCTTCAAGTGCTATGTGAAACAGAATTATCTGATGGGGATCAGGAATTCTATAAGTATAGATTCTAATTTCTTCAGCAGTTTTATAATTTAATAAGTGATAATTATGTTTGAAGCACATTGTCAAAACTAGCTATGATAGACTAGAAAGATGGTACAGCAGTTAAAAGCACTGACTGCTATTTCAGAAGATCCAGGTTCAGTTCTCGCTGTAGCTCACAATAGGCTGTAAATCCAGTCCTAAGGGATCCAGTGCCCTTTCCTGTCCTCAGCATCAGGCACTTATATACACCCATATTACATAAAATAAAATAATAATAAAAAAATTAAGCTGGGTGTTGTTGGTGCATGACTTTAATCCCAGCACTCCGGAGGCAGAGGCAGGCGGATCTTTTTTAGTTCGAAGCCAGCCTAGTCTACAGAGTGTGTTCCAGGACAGACTCCAAAGTAATACAGAAAAACCCTGTCTCGGAAAAACAAACAAACAAACAAACAAAAAACATTGTGCTATCAGGAGCGTTTTGTTCTGAGCAAGCAAAGAGTTCTGAAGAAACTAGGCTGCCAGAATAGAGACTGTAGCTAGGTCTTGTTCCTCAGCATATTACCTAGTTTATGATAGGATTGGTTAAATGGAATGAATGGCACATAACATTTGTAAAACGAGCTTTTGTAGCCAGGCATGGTTGTGTAGACTATAATCTCAGCTCTTAGAACGTGGAGGCAGGAGTTTAAGGACATCCTTAGCTAACATACCAAATTCAAAACCAGCCTGTGCTAAATGAGATTTTTTTTTTTTTTTGTCTCAAGGGTTTGGGGGGAAAAAAAAGAGAAGAATTTTTCTATTGATATTACAGAAGTAGAAAAGGACAAAGGACTTGTAATGACTACAAGGATTCTAGAGATATAGCCCAGAGCTAGACTAGGCTAGAGCAATAAAAATCCTTAAAAAATAGCATGCCCTTTGGCTCTTTGATGGGCAGTGGTGGTGAACTTTAATCCGAGCACCCAGGAGGCAGATGGATCTCTGAGTTTGAGGCCAGTCTGGTCTACAGAGTGAGTTCTAGGATAGCAAAGGCTACACAGATACCCTGCCTTGAAAAACAAAGCAAAAAAAAGTAACGGCCTTCTCTTCCTACTCCAGTTTTAATAAACTCATTCCTCTCTTGAATTTCTGCAGCAGTGTATCAATAGAAATGTTCTAAGAATTATCTGTTTTCAAGGCATTGATTTGATTTTGTAAAATCTTGTTTGTTCAGGGTGCTGTTTTGTTACATTTTACACCCGCAAAGCTGCTTTAGAAGCTCAGAATGCTCTTCACAACATGAAGGTCCTTCCTGGGGTAAGAGGCTCTTACAAGTAAAAATGACATTGTTTCTGTTTTTGTGCATGGGACATGCTTAATACATGTCAAGCACATAGTGGAAAGCATTTTGGAGGAAAGGTAATTGCTGTGAAAATAGACTATAAAGGGAAAATTTCAAAGACGTTAGACCAAAAGTTGTCCTCGCTGCCAAGAGTCTTGTGTATTTTAACTTTATGACTCACATTCTATCTATTCTTATATTTTGTAAGTAAGATCATTGGGCAGCCATGATATCAGAGAGGCTGTTGTTTGGTATGCCCTTTAGAGTCTTTATATTTTTTAAAGCCATTAATGGGTTTCCTTTTTAGATGCATCACCCTATACAGATGAAACCTGCAGACAGTGAAAAGAACAACGGTAAGCAACCATGCTAAGGTCTGCTCTGCATGAGGTTTCTTTTTCTTCTTCCTTTCTTTGCCCTCCCTCCCTCCCACTCCACTCTCTCTTTCTTTCTTTTCTTTGCTATTCTTAGGATATGTTGAATTATGCTATCAAAGTCTTCTTTGAGCTGGGTGTTGATGGTGGTACAGGCCTTGAATCTCAGCTCTTGGGAGGCAGAGACAGGCGGATCTCTGAGTTCAAGGCTAGCCTGTCTACAGATCAAGTTCAAGGACAGTCAGGGCTATTGTTACATGAAAAACAAAACAACAAGAAATACCCTTTGTCTCAATTTTGATAAATAGTGAGAAAAAACAGAGTTAACAGAAATAGTGCACATTATGATGAATTAGCCAGGTGTGGAGGTATACAGTGTAGTTTCAAGCATTTAGGTGTTTGAGGCCTACTTGGGCCCACATGAGACCATATCTCAAAAACTGTCGTATCCACAAACAGAAAACCTAGAATGTCCTTGGTAAGTATACTCTCTTATGGACAGGGTTAAGGAGGAAAGTGAACCATCTGGAAAGGAGATCTGCTAGTGCTTTAGGACAGAGCTTCCTGAGCTCAGTAGGGACAAGGCCACGATCAGTGCAGTTGCCAAAAGTACCCAGGTACTTTTGGAGCTGGGGATGAACTCAAACTTTAAAAAGTGTCATCTGTAGAAGCAAAACATAATTTGCAACCAAAGAAACTGAAGTTGATAGTGGTCAGAAAACTACAAATAATCTTTGTTTCACTCCCACAACTGAACTCTTGGAGAAATGCAAGTCATGATCGGAACAAAAAGTTCAGCAGGAAACTCAGAGGAGAATTTTTCCCACTACAGCTAGGAAAAAGATGTGTAGAGACAGGCAGACCATCTCAGAGGCTATACTACTGACAGACAGCTCTGTTTGGTGCCATTCTTAAGGACATGGCCTTCCTTATTGAAATTGTGGGGATTTTGAAGACTTTTCAGTAGATTTCACTTAAAATTCGATGGCATCTGGCTCATAAAGGTTTATTAAGACAAAGTACAACAGAATAAAGCTGTATGAAAAGCTTAGAGGCTAGAATGTTAATTTTGAATTCTGAAGAGTTTCAGTTAGAAGTACAAATGATCCAGCATTCAGGAAACATGAAGGAGAATCTCTATTAGTTAAAGCCAGCCATGTCTATAAAGCAAGTTCCAGGACAGCCAGGGCTATGTAGAGAAACCCTGTTTCAGAGAGGGAGGGAGGGGGAAGGAGGAAGGCAGTCAGGCAGACCAAAAGCCATTCACAGTTTAAGGGAAATTTTAAGTAGGTAAAGTTTAAAATGTTAGAAAAGGAAAGTGGCAAGTTTGCACTAAAGAGCCTTCTGTTCCCTGGTCATATCAAATGTAAAAACTTTTTCCTGGTATTGCTAGAAAGAGTAAACATACTAAGTATATGGCAAGATGCCAAAAACTTTGCATTTTGTACCTACAAGATTAGCCTTTGTAATAACCTTGCTATCTGTTAATCAAACAGATTGGTGAAGTAAATTGAACAAGAGTACAAATTCTCCATGTTTTATGCAAATGCTTCCAAATATGTATGATTTTAAATTACCATTGTTATGCTGTTATATAATTGGTAATACATTGATGTAAAATTATGGGAGGAAGAAAGGTGTCTTAGAATCTGTGAGATGAAGGCTGGAGAAATGGCTCAGCTGTTGGGAGCACTGGCTGCTCTTCAAGGGGACCCAGGTTCAATTCCCAGGTCCCATATGGCAGCTCACAGCTGTCTGTAGCTGGAGTTTTAGGGGATTTGACACCTTCACACCAATGCACATAAAATAGTTACATAAATTATTTAAAAGGAGGGTCAATGGAGAAATAGCTCAGTTTAAGAGCACTGGCTGTTCTTCAGAAGTCCTGAGTTCTATTTCCTGCAACCACATGGTGGCTCACACTCATTTATCATGAGATCTGATGTCCTCTTTTGGCCTGCAGGCAAACATGTAGGCAGAACACTGTGTACATAATAAGTAAAGAAATCTTTAACATGAAACACAGAGGGGGAAACAAGGAATCTGTGAAGATGAGCTGGGTGATAGTGGTGCATGCCTTTAATCCCAGCATTTGGGAGGCAGAGCCAGGCAGATTTCAGAGTTTGAGGCCAGTCTAGTCTACAGAGCAAGCTTCAGAACAGCCAGGGCTACAGAGAGAAACCCTCTCTTGGAGGGGGGGGGGGGGCAAAGATTCTGTGAAATGGATCATATGAACAGAGCCAGGATTCAAATCCTTTGGCTCTTGACTATATACTACACTGCTTTTTAGTGATAATATCCAAGACTTTTGTGTTTTACTCTTTTAGCTGTGGAAGACAGGAAGCTGTTTATTGGTATGATTTCCAAGAAGTGTACTGAAAATGACATCCGAGTCATGTTCTCTTCATTTGGACAGATTGAAGAATGCCGGATATTGCGGGGACCTGATGGCTTGAGCCGAGGTGGTACATTTTTATAGCTTTTAAAAAAAATACTTGTCTTAAATTGCAGTCTCTTATTTAACAGGACTAGTGGAGAAAGATAGATGAAGCCACATAGATAAGAGGTTGGGCCTGCTACCTCCTGCTGTACACCTTGATTTTGTCACTCCTCTCACCAACTGATCTCTTTTATTTTCATCCACCACCACTACCACCCCTTGTTGTTTTCCCAGACAGGGTTTCTCTCTGTAGCCCTGTTGGCCTGGAACTTGTTTTGTAGATTAGGCTGGCCTCGAACTCACAGACATCCATCTGCTTCTGCCTAATACTGGGATGAAAGGTGAGCGCCACCATGCCTAACCAGTTGATCCCTTTTGTGTTCTGCTTAAAAAGTTCTGTCTCCTTAATTTCTCTTGATTGCTGAGGATCTTGATGACCAAAATGGAACCATTTTCTCCTCACATTTTCTTTTTATCATAACTGGGATTTTTGGCTTCTTCCTCAATCATTCTCTCCTATTTGTGGTTCCTTGGTAGCTTGTAGTACCCTGTCATGACATAACTGTCTACTGTACCAGCTTGTGAAACCCTGAAAAGTAGGATCACATTTATATTGTTAATATGGTGGTCAACACACAGTAAGTTAGATGTTTAGTCAATGTCTGACAAATTTCTAAACAAGTGAATATCGATTCCTTCCTTACCAGGTTGTGCATTTGTGACTTTTACAACAAGAACCATGGCACAGACAGCTATCAAAGCAATGCACCAAGCACAAACCATGGAGGTAAGGAACAGACAGGTAGAAGAGGAAAAAAAATCCCTTACCATGAAAATCCTTTGCCTGGCAGGGCTGGGATAGCTGCCTATCAAAGTCTAGCAGCATGTACAACATCAGATTGCCTTCACATAGTCAGTCTACCTTAAGATCTGAAGTAGTACATTTAAAATGATGGAGCTCAGTGATGTAGAGTACCTGATAATCTTGCAGAGGACTTGTGTTTGATTCCGCATCCACATGGTGGTTCACAAACATCTGTAACTACAGTTCCTGGGGATTCGGTACCCACTTCTTGCCTCCTTGGGTACCATAAATGTATGCGATGCACATACATTACAAGGGAAAACACTCCTACAAATGAAATAAGTAATAACTTTAAATAGCTAGCATATGTTACAAGCAGTTTTCTGTCAGTCTGGTCCCACATCCGCTTCAGCCCCAAAATAACGCACAGAGACTCTATTAGTTATAAAGCTGTTGACCAATGGCTAGAGCTTCTTACTAGCTAGCTATGTCATAGCTATTAACTTATTTCTGTCAATCTAAGTGTTCCCACATGGTCTTGTCTTATTGGAGAGCGGGTCCAGACCTTCTCTCACGGCCTACTCTCTATTACATCTCCCAGAATCCTCCTTGTCTCCTAGTCTCAAATAGCTTGCCTTTCTATTTGCCAACACTGCTTTATTCATTAACCAATAAGAGAAACATTTACAGAATGACATCTCCCCATCATCTCATCTTTTCAGTTTAAAATAAGGAAGGGCTTTAATATTAGTAACTTTAATATAGTAAAATATATAACAAAATAGTTGTCGAATAAGAACTATAGTTAACAATATTTAGTCCATTAACATCAGGAATTAAAGAAAATATTCTATCATCTATCTTTGTGAGTTTAAAGTCTTATATGTAATTTATCTTTAATCCTAACAAAGGAAAACTATAACCATAACCATCTGTCTTCAACTCCATTAAAGACCACAAAAGGATAGTATAAAAATTAACTCTAGAAATGACAGAGACAACTCAATACCTGAACAGTCATCCAAAGTTCTTCTGTAAACTAGTGCATCTGTCTGTGGCCCATAGGCCATAGTGTGTCTGGCAGACTCCTCAGCAAAGCAGGAAACTTTAAACTGTTCTCTTGTATTGGCAGTTTGTCAGTCACTTTTCTTTGTCCTGTAGAATGTCTGGCAGGCTCTTCCATAAAGCAGGAACCCTGTGGCTCTGTCCATCTTGTATCAGCATTCACTTTTCTATGGGTCCTGCATGTCCAGTTTATACAGCATAAAGCCAAATAGTCCAGACAAAAGCAGTATCTTGCCTAAATGGCTTGTTTTGCCATATTGGAAACAAATTTCATAAAAAGTTTCTTCCTTTCTGATGCAGATGGTATTGCCAGGAGCAGTTATGTGTCACTGTCAAAAACCCTAAACCATTTTAAATGCCATATTTTGTAGGTCTTTGAAAGGTTTGAAGAATGCCTATCCAATTGAAATATAACTACATATCTGTAAAAACCTAATAAATTTAACTGTAAGTTTTGATTTATTATAGGTAACTATCTACAATCTGCACTTAATTATACATTACATTTTTAAATAGGTCATATACATAATACTTAAATGAGAAATATACATATCATAAAATTGACCTTAAATTTGTATCAATAAATGAAAATCCATTCCAAAACAAAGTATTCATTTCTATACCATAATCCCCTTTTTACCTTTAAAAAGAGATTGATTGTGATCATTAACCATTTATAACCAACCCCATTTAAATGAAAACAAACATTTATAAACAATATTTGGGAATTTGGGCACTGTTCTTTCCAAACTGCTTCCTGCTGTTAGGGGGTGCTGTCTTGGGGATCCTAAGACACAGAAATCCTGGCTGTAATAGTCTGCAAGGCTGCCTTGTCCCAGATGTTTTGAATGTTGGATCATCTGGGACACTGCTTCAGGGGGTCTTGTTTGATCAAATCATGTTATTCTGGAAGGAATCATAGCTTTTCATTTTCTGTGGAAACAGAAATAGAAATTCTTTTCCCCAGTAACCTGTCCTTAGAATTAAAATTTTAAGTCAAAGCATTTTTAAAATATTTAAGTTCAATTAATTTAGCAGCATTGATGATCAAGTGTATTTTAGCAGTTGTTGTTCCTTCCTTAGCAATTGAGCAGTTTAAAGACAGCACAATAGCATACAATATCCAGACTCTCTGTATATTTCCCATCTTTAGGTGGCTTTTTTATTACTCTATTTATTTTATTTCTATTTTTCCACTTTTTGAGTCAGTGTTTCTGTGTTACTTTGGATGCCCTAGAATTCACTGTACACCAGGTTTGCTTTGAAATCACAGATTTGCTTGCCTCTGCCTTAACTGTGCCACCATACCCAGCTATTCACCTTCCCTGCTTGCCTCCCTCCATCCCTCCCTTACTTTTTAAAACCAGTTTATCCTGTTTCTTTTTTTCTCCTAAGACTAAGGAAACCTCCCTCAAAGGAGCCACTCAAATCTCTGCCTGTCTCTAGCAAAACAGAGCCCACCTGAGAAAAATGATACTATCAAGAAATCTTGTTTATCTCTGTTCTTTTTTTTTTTTTTTTAAATCTTTTTAAGCTTTTGTCAAGTTTTAAGTGGAAGTTCTTAGTACCCACATTAGATATGGTGAATACTTACAGACCCAGTGATTGAGGCTAAGGCAGGAGGAATACTTTAAACCCAGTAGTTAAGAATCAAGTTTAGCAACATAGTAAGATCTCCCTGTTTTAGAAATAATAAACAGAAAATGATTATTATTAATAGTATTTTGCCACTACTATCTATCAAAAAAGCCATTTAGGGGTGTGAAAATTAGAATGCAGCCTTCATATTCTCTCCCAACCCAGAAGGAAGTTTTGTTGTTTTAAATTCTGTGTCCCTGTATATTCCTGTCCATCCACAATATAAATGCAGAAATCGGGCAATTTGTAGAGGTTGGTTTTCCCTTCATTCTGGGTTTGAGGGCTCAGGTTCAGGTCATCATGCTTTCTATAACCCCCTTTACTCACTGAGTCATCCTCCTACCCCAAAATAAGGAATTTGATCCTTTGGTTTTGATGTTTTCATAGGGTTGCTCATCTCCCATGGTGGTAAAATTTGCTGACACCCAGAAGGACAAAGAACAGAAGAGAATGGCCCAGCAGCTCCAGCAGCAGATGCAACAGATCAGTGCAGCATCTGTGTGGGGAAACCTGGCTAGTCTGAATACTCTTGGGCCCCAGTACTTAGCAGTGAGTTGTGTGATTTGCTTTCTGCATACTGTGCAAGCTCCCATCTGTTTCTTCTTCTGATGTCTCTAGCTAACAAACAGTGGCATTTGCAACTTTGGACATGTAGAGAATTTACATAAAAATTTAGACAGTCTCATTTAAGTAGTGTATTTCTCCTTTATGGTTTAATCTTGAGGCACTTGCTACAAGTAAAGTGAAATCATGACTTTAATTTAAAGATTATAAATGTCTCATGTTTCCCTGACTCCAAGAGAAATGCTTAGGAAAAATCTTTGTTATTCAGCATCATTTTTTATGTCTCTATCTACAAGATGTGATGGGCATTATCAGAATCTTTTTTTATTTTGTTTTATTTTCAAGACAGAGTTTCTTTCTGAGACTCTGGCTGGCCTGGAACTCCCTTTGTAGGCCAGGCTGGTCTGAACTCAGATCCACCTGCCTCTGTCTCCAGAGTGCTGTAATTAAAGGTGTGCACCAACCACCACCCAGCTCATCAAAAATTTTTATTGCGTCTTCCCTAAAATCGTGATAAATATATCTTTCAGCAGACGGAAAAATCCTGAGATTAAAATGAATACTAGTAAATGAGAATTACAGGTACATATTTGTTGCATTTGTCAAATTGTAAACAGGTTTCCTTTAATTGGTTTCTCCATGACTTTGAGTCATACAATCTAAAAGAAGGTGCAGCTCTAATTATTTAATTTATAGTCAGTAATGATCTCACAGGGTATTATTAGACTTGTGAGGCACAAAGGAAAAGGACATCTTTGAGCATAGCAGCACATGAGTATAGTTTCAGTGCTTGGGAGTCCATGGCAGGAAGATCAGGAGTTCTAGGTCAGCCTGTGATGCACAGTGAGTTCCTGCCCAACCTGAAGCCTTGTCTCAGAGAAAAAGACAAGGTCTCTCAAGCTGTAATTGGTGGAACTTTAAATCTGTATGGAGAGTTTGGATACAGTCAATCATTCCTCATTCTTTTAGATACCAATGCTATATGGAAACAGCAAAGATGACATCTCTGTTGTCCAATAAATAAATAAAACTACTAATTTTTTAAGCTAGTATGTCTAAAATCAGATAGGAAAAAGATAAAGTTTATTACATATTTCAGTAGAGTAAATTATTTAGAGCTAGGGACATTACATAAGTTCAGGAATATTGTAGTTTTCCACTAGATTAATGCTTTGAGAATGATCTCCAGCCAGGTGTTATAATGCTTTTAATTGCAGTAGTCAGTGACAGAGTCAGGCAGATCTCTGAATTTGAGGCCAGCCTGGTCTATATAGTTCTAGGACAGCCAGAGCTACATAAAAGAGAGACCCTGTCTCAACTACACTAGTTTAAAATCATTAAGTGGAAGGCTGGGTATAGTATTATATTCCTTTAATCCTAGCCTGGTCTACATGTTTTTTTTTTTTTTTTTTTTTTTTTTAAAGCCAGCCATCACTATATATTTTGAACCTGTCTCAAACAACAACAAAGTAATAATAAAATAAACTAGTAATATTTGTAACCTAAAGAATATGATACATTGATCTCACTAGGAGAACATGGGAGAGAAAGAAACTAGAAATGGCCCATAACCTATAAGATGTGCTGGCGTTTGGATTTAGCTTATTTCTCTATGCTACTTTTGTTCTTTGCTGTGCTGTATTCTGCCCAGAGATGAGCTTAGCTCACTATCCCAGTGAACAATCTTCTTAGCTGGGGTTTTAGCTGTGTTGCTTTTGTTGGGTGTAGTCATTAGCCTTGCATTTTTGTTGGGATCTTGTCTTTGACTTTCTTCTCTCTGGGGGCCTCTGCACTCTTGCTTTGCTGTGCTGTAGAGTTATCCCAGATGCAGAACCAGCCCTCACTCTCACTCTTGTTCTGTTTTTTGGTGTAATGTCTAGCTTTATTTGCAGCTCCTTCAGCAGACTGCCTCCTCTGGGAACCTCAACACCCTGAGCAGCCTCCACCCAATGGGAGGTAAGTACTTCACTGCTGCAGAGGAGCCACAGCACACAGGCCAGCAGACAGCTGCCTCAATCTAAGAGTTTTGTGCCATGGCTGCCAAAACTTTTTCACTGGTTACATAAAGCGACTACCTAGGGACTCAGATTTCTTGTTTCTGTTATGTAGCTATATTGTTGGTTGGTGCCTCTATACTCTGAAGTTGTCTGGTATACCTCATTCTAAGTCACTGTTGGGAAAGGAAGATGCCAAGAGCCCTTAGGGACCACCCAGGGTTAGGCCAATTAAATGCATAAAAAACTCCCAAGAGCTGTATATGAAGAAACATTCAGTAACCCAAAGCTGCTAGTACCAAGGAGTTTTTTGTATTTCTGAATTCATGCTGTTGTTGCTGTTAAGATACATGAAGTCTTAGAAAAAAACAAAACAAAAAGATACATAGAAAATGTAGATTATAAATAACATGGTTTGTAGCAGAATGAAGTATTAGAGACATGAGGTATTGGCTAACAGAAAAGTCTAAAGAGGCAACCTGTGCCTGTACTCTGTGCAGTGGAGTGTAGCTAAGCATACACATTGAGAAAGGGGACTGCATTTTGAAGTTTAGATAGTGATTGGTTTTGTTCTAGGGAATTTAGTTTTCTGTGTTTTGGGGAAATTATTAAATTATAATGTATGGTGTTTTTACTTTCCCCCCTTCTGATAGTCTGTGTGTCCTCTAGTAAAATGCTTTACAAAATCCACAGCATAATTCAGATTTATTCTTTTTGGTTTTGGGTTGGGTTGGGTTTGGATTTTTAGTTTTTTTGAGACAGGGTTCCTCTACATAGTCAAATTTGTTCTTACTGTGTGTTACCAAGATTTTACTTACAATTCTTTCCCTCACATTTTTTTCCTGCCATCTTCTGATGATTAATTTACTGTTAAAGTGGCAGCACTTTCTTTATTCCTTCTATTACTGTTCTTTCCTGTTACTCCCATGAAGCCTTCAAGAACTCATTGTACCTCTTCAGTGCTCCTCTGTAACATTTTGTACTGTCCCTTGAGTTCCTGGCCCCATGATAGGTCACAGGTATGTTCCTTATTTAATTTGGCCCACTTCTGTATTAGTGCTCATTTAGAGTGCCATTGCTAATGGATTAGCAAACTCTTCTCCAAAGAAGTGGTTGTAAGTTTCTTCTCTTTTCCTCCTGGCTGTGGAGAGAACCCAAGGCCTCATGCGTGGTAACGTGTCATATCACTGAATTAGAACCCCAGAATTTTAATTTTTTAAAATTTAAATTAGAAACAAGCTTTTTTTTTTACATGTCAATCCCAGTTCCCTCTCCCTTCCTCTCCAGCACCCCATCAACTCCTATCCCATCCCCTTTCTTCTTCCCGGGAATGGTGATGTCTCCCATGGTAGATCTCCAAAGTCTGTCATATCATTTGGAGAAGGGCCTAAGCCCTCCCCTGTAACAAGCACTTTCCCACCAGCCTGGTCCCACTGCCACATCAGTCCCAAAATAACACACAGATTTTATTAGGAAACTGTTGGCCTGTTACTAGTATTTCTTATTGGCCAGCTCTGTCTTAAGTATTAACTCATTTCTATCTAAGTATTTTTACATGGTCTTATCCTACCAAGAATGCCAGACTTGAGTCCTCTCCTCCTGAGGTCATATTGAAGCTCTCCTACATTTCCCAGAATCCTCCATCTCTCCTAGTCCCACCTATCTTGCTTTTCTATTGGCCAACAGTGCTTTATTCATTAACCAATAACAAAAATGTATTTACAGAATGACATCTCTCATCATCTCCTCTTTTCTGTCAAAATAAAAAGAAGGGCTTTAATATAATAAAATATATAACAAAACAGTTAACTATAGTTAACAGATTTTAGTTCATTAACATTTAGCAAGATTTAAAGAAAATATTCCATCATCTATCTTATCATTGTGAATCTAAAATCTCAATGTAATTTATCTTTAATCCTAACTAAGGAAAACTATAACCATAACTATCTGTCTTCAACTCCATCAAAGACCATAAAAGGATAATATATAAACTCTAGAAATGACAGAAACATCACGCTACCTAGACGGTTACCCAAAATTCTTCTGTAAATTGGCACATCCATCTTTGGCCCATAGGCCATAGTGTGTCTGGCAGTTTTCTCAACAAAGTAGGAAATTCAAACTGTCCCAGCTGTGTTGCCAGTTTGTCAGTCATTTTTTTTCTGTGTTCTGCAGAAGGTCTGACAGACTCTTCCATGAAACAAGTAGTCTGTAAGACTGTCTCCTCTCAGCTGTTTAGATGCTAGATCACCTGGGACACTGGTTAAAGGGGTTTACTTTATCAAAACATATTAGTCTGGAAGGAGTTTACAGCTTTTTATTTTTTGTGGAAACAAAAGTAGAAATTCTTTTCCCAAGTAACCTGTCCTTAGACTTAAGTTACAAGTCAAAGCATTTCCAAAATATATAAGGTGGATTAACTTAGCAGCATTTATAATCAAATGTATTTTAGCAGCTGTAGCTCTTTCCTTGGCAAACAAGCAATTTAAAGACATAGTATATAGCATCCAGACTCTGTGTATTTTTTCATTTTTCCATGGCTTTTTTATTACTCTATTTGGCCGCTTATGGAAATCAGGGAGCCGCTCTTAAACAAGCCGCTAGTGTCTCTTAATGCCTGGGAAAAAGAGCTTACTCAAGAAAATGCTGCTACCAAGAAGCTGTGCCTTTGTTCATTTATTTTTAAAATACTCTTTTTTAAAAGTTTTTGTCAAGTTTTAAGTGTAAGTTCTTCATACCCACGTTGCAGGCGCCATTTTGTTACTAGCACTTTCCCGCCCAGCCTGCTCCCATTGCCAAGTCAGTCCCAAAATAACACACAGAAACGTTATTATTTATAAAACTGTTGGTCTGTTACTAGTGTTTCTTATTGACTAGCTTTGTCTTTAAATATTAACTCATTTCTCTCAATTTAAGTATTTCTACATGGTCTTATCTACCGATAATGCCAGACCCTTGTCCTCTTCTGAGATCACATCATGACTCTACTACATTTCCAAGAATCCTTCACCTCTCCTAAGTCCCACCTATCTTGCTGCTTCTCTATTGGCCAATAGTGCTTTATTCATTAAGCAATAAGAAAACATATTTACAGAATGACATTTCCCATCACTTTTCCTATGTGTTTAGGCTGAAAGGGTGTCCATCTACATGGAATGGGCTACCAAATACTGATCCACTATCAGAGGCTCCATAGATTGCCAGGCCTCCTAACTGACACCCACGTTCAGAAGGTCTGGGTGGGCCCTATGCTGGTTTCCAGCAATCAGACTGGGGTCCATGAGCTCCTCCCTGTCTGCAACTGGCTTCCAGGAGTTCAGCTCAGTGTTTAGTTGTAGAACCCCAGCATTTTAAAGTTTTCTTACTGAATGATAGCTGTACCTTTTGGAGCCCTATAGTAAATTATGGAAAATATAGAAAGTAAGTATATTCTTACATAGAATAGTTCCTCTTTGTTTGGGACCAGTTTTCAGTCATTGCTAAAGTAACATTGGGCATCTAATCTGCTGGTTAATGTCTTTTTCTGGATATTGCAGGGTTAAATGCAATGCAGCTACAGAATTTGGCTGCACTAGCTGCTGCAGCTAGTGCAGCTCAGAACACACCAAGTGGTACCAATGCCCTCACCACATCCAGCAGCCCTCTCAGCGTACTCACTAGTTCAGGTAAGGGGCCAATAGGGAGCATTGTGTTTCTTGGACAGACCCTCAGTTTGAAGACAGAGTCTAAGGGAATGGGCATGCCATCTTGGAAAGGAATGAGCATATGTACAAGTGGATTGTATTATGAGCAAAGATTCACAGGTCTTGGTATCCCCCTCCTTTTCCCCATTTTGTTCTTTGAGGCAGAATCTTTGTCTTTGTGACTCCTGGCTCACAAACTCTAGACTCAGTTTATAGATCAGGGTGGCCTTGAACTTGAAAGAGATCCTTCTCCCTCTGCCTCCCAAGTGCTGGATTAAAGATTTGTTGGGTCACACTTTTTTTTTTTTTTTTTTTTTTTTTTTGTAAGTCACACTCTTTTTGTACTTTTTGCTTGTTTTTGCTCTTTATTAAAAAATTTAAACTAAGCCAGGCATTGGTGGCACATGCCTTTATTAATCTCAGTACTCTGGAGGCAGAAGCAGGTGGATCTCTGTGAGTCAAAGCCAGTCTGGTCTACAGAGCAAGTTACAGGACAGGCTCCAAAGCAATACAGAGAAACCCTGTCTTGAAAAATCAAAAAAAAAAAAAATTATTGCAGCAGGAGAGGTGGTTTTGTGATTAATGACATCTAGTGGTCTTTGAGCAGACCTGAGCTTGGTAGACAACTCACAACAGCCAGAAAATTCATCTTTTTTCTAGTCTGCAAGCTTTGTTCACATGTATATATACACTTTTATACACCTACATATCTATACAATTTTAAATAAAATAAAAATTTTAAATATTATGTGTATGTGTTTGCACATGTGCTCATTTATGAATGTAAGAATATGCACATGCCACATTACCTATGAAGCAGCCAGAGGACAACTTGCAGAAAGTGTGTGTCCAGGAATGGGGTTCAGGTCCTTGGGGTTGGTGGCCAAGCACTTTTACCCAGTAATTCAGTGATAGCAGAACCCCTTTTCCAAATAGAAGAGTTAGATAGGATCATTCTTGTGCTTTGGTTCCTATTGGCAAGAGAAGGCAAGTGATAATTTAACTCCTGGATTTCTAATAGCAGGGTCTTCACCGAGCTCCAGCAGCAGTAACTCTGTCAACCCCATAGCCTCACTTGGAGCCCTGCAAACATTAGCTGGAGCAACAGCTGGCCTCAATGTTGGCTCTTTGGCAGGTAATGGGTAGCTCTTGATTGTCATCTGGTTACTTTTATAATTGGCACATCATAAACTAACCCAGTACCTATAGAATAATTGTGTTGGTTATATATAAAGTAAAATAATAGAACACTTTGAAGGGTTCTTAAGTTTAATGATGCCAGGCGGTTGTGGTGCACGCCTTTAATCCCAGCACTCAGGAGGCAGAGGCAGGCAGATCTCTGTGAGTTTGAGCCCAGGCCAATCTACATAGTGAGTTCCAGGACATGCAGGGCTACACAGAGAAACTGTTTTGAAAAACCAAAAAATAAAAATATTAAATGAGCAGCTAGAGAGATAGATGTTCAGCTGTTAAGAGCACCAGCTACTCTTCCAGAGGGCCTGGGTTTAAAAAAGAAAAAACAATCAACAAACAAACAAATAAGAACATAGGCAAAGGGGCTAGTGAACACATTTAGTTAAGTTCCTGGCACACGGGACATGCTCAGTAAATGCTAGGTGCTATTTTAATGATAGCATATACTCCCATCTTATAAGCCCCTGGTTCTGGGGCTGACTTTACCATATTCCAGCTTTGTATGAACAAGAGATAGAATAGCCAAAGGTGAAAAATGCAGATAGGCATTTGTGAATGGTGTCAGTTTTTCCATGTGCTAGAAAACGAGATGAGGTGTAGACTTTGTAATGTTTGCATAAACATTAAAGCCTAGTGAAGTGTCCTGAAATGGGACCACTCAGATAATAGTCTCAGTCAGTGGGAGATGAAAGGGCAAATTTTGGGGGGAGGGATCCATTTTCTAGTAACTTATCTATCTTCAGCATCAATTAAAACTTTCCATTATATTAACCTTGTTTCTTCCTCCAACAAAGGAATGGCTGCATTGAATGGTGGTCTGGGCAGCAGTGGCCTTTCCAATGGCACCGGGAGCACCATGGAGGCCCTCACCCAGGCTTATTCTGGTATCCAGCAATATGCTGCTGCAGCACTCCCCACTCTGTACAACCAGAATTTATTGACACAGCAGAGTATTGGTGCTGCTGGAAGCCAGAAGGAAGGTAAGTGCACCAGAGCTGGAAGGTGAGATTTGGGGCAACAGAATCTAGGTGGTCAGACTAAACTTTGTCTAGCCAAGGCCAAGAACAGACTGGGAACAACTATGAAGTGCAGTGCTTTTGCAATTTAGGGGTGGAAGGGATAAGAATGCTTATAGATCCTCTTAGGATGGAGCTTAGTTTTTAAACAAAGAAATAGACACTGTAATTACTGCATCTGGTCATGTGACAAGAATCTTCTTTAGTTAAGTCTTCTCTGGGTTATAAATCTGTCAGGATTGTCTTGAGTGTCCCTTTTAGGAAATCATTTGACATTTTCCTTTCTGATTAAAGAACGTCCTAAATGAGATACTGAAATGTGATAGGATAGAGTGAGATAGTCATTAGGTTTGATGGAATGAGAAATATATACTTTCAAGGAAATTAAATTTAGGAGAGACTTTTTAGACAGTGTTCCTGCAAGCACCTTAGTATTCCGGTTTGACTGGATTTTTATAACCACAACTTGATAGGTTTAGGCACTAATGTAAAAAAACAAGTAGCCTTTTTGACTTTCATGTGTGAACTAGTATTAAGAGACCTTGAAGATGTGAGAAAGCAAACCAAGTGTGTATGTAGGAGGAAGAGTAGTAGTGGCACAGAAATGGCAAGTGTATGGTCCTGGAGGCAGAAAAGGGCTGTGTGTTTGGTAACAAGTAGGAGACATGCGTGGCTGGAGAATGGCTGGATTGTTATTTATTGTCACTCTTCATTAATTAGAAAATAATAGTGCAAGTAAAGAAAGTATACTCTACTATGAGTTTAGTATTGAACATAGGCACATTTTAAGTCTTCTTTCTTTTAGGGTACAGTTTAGGTATGCTCAAATTCAAAATTTATTCATTTTGGTATAAAGCTTAAGAGTTTATACTACTGTAATGGGGGAACATTTATAAAAACCTTCTAGAAACTCCCTGGCATCCCACTGTTGTTTCCTACTCCCATTCTTGACTTGGCCATACCAGCCTGTTGTTACACCTTTAGTATCCAGAAACCTTGTTTTTGTTTTTCGGTTTTACTTGTTTGTCTTGTTTGCCCGGAGACAAGGTTGTATAACAACCCTGGCTGTCCTGAAACTCACTCTGTAGACCAGGCTGACCTCTGCCTCCTGAGCACTGGGGTTAAAGGCACACACCACCTGGCTTTGAAACCTGAATTTTGTTGAGGCAGACCCTGAATTTGTTGATCCTCCTGTCTCAGGCTCCTAAGTGGAAGGATTACATGCTGAAACTTGTTTTGACTATATAACCCATTTTACTTCCTTTTCCTTATTCCCATGTGGGCTCTAGTTTCTCTTTTACTACTGTACATGCAGATCTACCTTTCTAATCCCTATATACCCTCTCTAGCAAGGTGGGACTTTAATGTCCTTCCATGAACCAGGAATAGTGGTGCATGCTTTTAATCCTAGCATTTGAGAGGCAGTTTGAGGCAGCCAGCCTGGTGTATAGTTACAGGACAGCCAGAGAGACCCTATCTTGAAAAATATGACTTTAATCCTAGCACTTGGAAGGCAGAATCAGGTGGATCTCTGTAAGTTCAAGGACTACCAGAGCTGTTAGACAGAGAAACCCTGTCTCAAAAACCAAAACAAAACAAAGATTTAAAAAAAAAAAAAAAATCGAAAAGATGTCATATGCAAAGGGAGAAATCTAATTTTGAATTTACTGCTAGGTTTCTTGTATTGAGAGAATCTGTTTAGTTCCCCTCAAAGAATAAATTTGTTGGATTTTTTGCTAGTGTTAGTATAGATGGGAATGAGAAACCATAGGCCCTGGCTGATGAACATTAACACTGATAACTCTTCCAATCAATGGATATTTGAAGGTCCAGAGGGAGCCAACCTGTTCATCTATCACCTGCCCCAGGAGTTTGGAGACCAGGACCTGCTGCAGATGTTTATGCCCTTTGGGAATGTCGTGTCTGCCAAGGTTTTCATAGACAAGCAAACAAACTTGAGCAAGTGTTTTGGTATGTTGACTTCTCTTGGTATCAGAATGGGATTAAGTATTTTGCCACTGAGAAAGGAGCTGCTGACAAATTCAGAGGAAGCTGATTTTGAGTTTGACCTCGGGAGAGCATACTCTTTTTGAGCTTCACTTTTACCTGTAGTGGAGGTGGACTTGGTTCAAAGGTGGTACCACTGAGAATCTAATTGTTTCTAATGTTGATGCTTTTGTCAGAATTTTCATACCTGCTGAGAACAGTTGAGATTTGAGAATATATAAAATAACTTCTTGGATGAGGAGGAATGAGACTCTTTGCCTTACTAAGTCTCTCACCTAAATTTCTGCTTGGCCACACAGGTTTTGTAAGTTATGACAATCCTGTCTCAGCTCAAGCTGCCATCCAGTCCATGAACGGCTTTCAGATTGGAATGAAGAGGCTTAAAGTACAGCTCAAACGTTCAAAGAATGATAGCAAGCCCTACTGAGCGTGCTCCCCTCTGAGACTGGAGAAGATCTTCTGGTAAGTGGGGGAGGAGCACCCTTAATCCTTCGAAGCCCTAAGGCTGTGTGTTGACAGCCCTGGACCCTGATCCCTGCCACTCTCGCAGGCACAGCTTGCCCTGAAGACTCAGCTACTGCCTTCTGTGGGAGTGTCGCTTCGTACAGAGGACAAGTTTGTGCTTTGGTTTCCAGTGTTTTACTTTGGAGTTTAGGTGCCATATCCTGGGGTTTTTTTGTTTCGTTTCATTTTTTTTTTTTTTTTTTTTTTGTTTGTTTGGTTTTTTTTTTTTCTCTTTTCCCTTTATTTAAAGTTTGCTGTGTTTGTAACCAGTCTGTTGAGAAGGACCAACACCAATCCATCCTGAGGAAGAGGGAAATGCTTTAAAAGATAATCAGAATGTGCCCAAAACCACTGAGAGAGGACTGAACAGAACAGAAAGTTGATCCTCCAAGTCTCTCTCCCTGAGTGCAAGGGTGGGTAAGGTCTAAGGAGCTACAGGGGCAGAGTGGATGAGGTGGCTTGGCATCTAGACCCCTTTATAACTAGCGGCTTTCTGTGGAAATGCTAAGCTTATGCCACCTATTTTTCTGATTTTTGTCCTGGATTTCTGCCCTTCTTTCCTAAAAGGGGGTCTGCAAGTCTCAGGAAATAAAGCACTTCTTAATTTAGTCTGAAATATGCAAATAACAGGGTGATACCCATTACTAGCTATCCCAGTCCACCATTGGTATTGTATTGCCCTGCCTGGCTGGTGGTTGTTTGGGGGAAGCAGCCAAAGAGGTCATTTCTTAGTTTATTTCAGTGTGAATTAGACCATTGCCCATTTCCAACAGTTTATTTTGAAGAAAGTTTGTGACAGTTCACCACAGCAAGGAATATCGTCTCATTCCCCAGACACAATTTTTTCATGAGGGCAGATCTAAGAAGCGTTTGCAGCATCTAGCAAACAAGGGTGCTGTTGACAGGCAGAGTGATCAGTAGCCTTCTGGGAGAGAGGAGGGACCTGCTTCTTGATGTACCTGAATCAAGGTCTTTTCTGTATTTGAGCAGAGCCTAGTATTCAAGAAGGTTCAGAAGTACACTGTTGCCTCTTTGATGAGGGTATCCCAGAGATTGTGTTTTTACAAAGGTCTGACAAGCCTCTCCTAGCCACTCTAGCCCCATCTTCTGCCCTTGGAGACAGAAGAGAGTACAGGACGTTTACAGGCTTCATATGGTTTTTAGTGTTCATTTACCTCAGTATTAACTCATGTCATTTTGTTATCATGCTTACAGTTAGTTCCCTGCTGCCTTTCACCGGTCTTAACTCCAGTGTCCCACACAGCCTCTGGGCTCTGCTTTTGCTCTAAGAAATACTGTTGAGAATGTGCATCTGAGCAGAGGTAGCCACATAAGCATATGCTATTGGCCACAGCCAGGGTTTGGGTTCCTAGGTCCTTGAAAGCATAAACCTCACAAGTTAAAAACCTTGACTCCTAGCAGCAGAGATTAGAAAAAGAAAGGGTTTAGCCTGTTTTTAAGTCAGAAGGGGACATTTCTGCTTGTCATGCTGTCCCTGTAGGTAACATACAGGGATGACCATCTTGCTGTTGTACAGGTAGCTATTGGTGTTGGATTATCCCATTGAAGCTGGAACAGCTCTTCTCTGCTCATAGTGATAAGTTTGGTCTGTTGTCCTCTTAAAAAACATGAAATAATACACTTCTTAAACTGAACCATGTAAACTTGAATTCTACGCAATGGGAGAGAAGTGTTCTGTGTTTCAAGATAAAACTGTTCTAAAGGCTTCCAGGGTAATGATGGGATTTTTAAAAATAAATGCAAAAAATAAAAATTAAAAAAAGCTTAAAAAGGGAAAAAAAAAAAAAAAAGGAAAAAAAAAAAAAAGAAATGCTAGGTTGGGCAGGCACTGTTCTGTCTGAATCCCAACCAGCTGGAACCAAGAATGTTGTTTCTATTTTTATAGAAGTTTTATACAGCTCCGGGGTGGAGAATATTTATTACCTAAATTATATCTCTGGAAAAGGCCAGGATTTTGTAGAATCCAGAATGTGATTGTTGTACACACGGAGTGCTGTGTATGATTGAAACTACTGATTTTCTGTGACCATTTGCAGCCCAGGTAACCTGTCCAAGGGGAAGGCTAACATTAATGCTGTGAATCGGCCGAGGCGAGAGCTGTGCTCCTTAGGGTGCTGCCACTGCTGTGCTCCCTAACCTTCTGTCCTGTCTTCCTCCTTGGCCAGAACACCACGTTCTTCCCTCTGTCTCCTGTTTTACCATTTGTCCACAGATTTGTCCTGTACTCTGGGACCTTTGGAAACCACCTTCCTAATGAGATTAGAGGCAAAGGTGTGACCCCCCCCCCCAACCTTTGAAACAGACCCCATACTTTATACCTACTTGTGGCTCTGAAAGGAACACTTGCCCCAGCAGAGCCATGGTGTGCTCAGGCAGCCAGCCAGCTGGTGAGACCATGTACTTCTGTTCTCCCCCTTTGCCCAGTACATAAGCACAGCAATAGCACTGTCCTTGAGCACAGTTCTCTCCCCAGGCCAAAGATGGTTTTGTTGAAGAAGCTGCTCCCCTGTAAGTCTTGATGTAAAAGGGCTCAGCTCAGAGTGGAGACTGAAGTGAAGTCTTAAGCAATCCATTCTGTTGTGTGGAGGTTTCACTTACAGTGTGTTTTCTGCTGTAGTTTGTTTCTTGAATTATATCATGCCATTGATTTGCCTTCACTGCAGCCCACCACTATCTCCTGGGTTTCACATGAGTGGCCAGGGCCAATGTGGAAGCTTAGGGCTTGGATTCTTGGGAACAAAGGGCCATCCTAAGATTGAGCAAGAAACTCTGGCCTTCTACCCTAAATAATCTCCCTTCCACTGTAGTCAGCATCTTTTTGTTTCCTCTCCCCTCGGGTCTCACCAGGTAGTGGGAAAGCAGCTGAGGCCTTGCTTACCCCAGAGACTGTCTTGATGTAGTAGGTGCTTTTCAGGAAATCCAAGCCTTAGGTTCCCTTCTGTCTCTGGCAATTGGATGTTCTCTTGGTGTTCTCCATGTCCTTTTGAACTTTTCCCTGTGTCCATTGTTAGCATGTGCAAACCTCCCTGTCATTCCCCATCCCTGCCCTTCCCCACCTCCTCATTTCAGGGCTGCACACAGTGAGTGTCCTGTTCTCTCTCTGTTTGGATGTATTGCTCTGTGTAACTCAGTGGATCTCCCTCTTTCTGGTTTGTTTTTTTTCTAGATTCCTGCCGTTTGTTCATCGTTGTGCCTAAAGCATGTCGATGTGGCGTCAAGTACATCGTCCAAATCCCTGTCTCTTCAGCTTCTCTGATGCTTGAACTCTCACCTTTGACCTTGTGTTGACCTTTGATGCTGATGTGTATTTTATTATGTTTGTTTCTTTCTTTGTTTTTTCTTTTTTCTTTCTTTTTTTTTTTTTCCCTTTTGTGCTGCCAAAATTGGTTTTGCTAGAACGACTGCTGAAGGGAAAAAATATTTAAACTTGCATTTGAATATAAAAAAAAATCTATTTTTCTAGAACTTCATAAGATAACCACTTGATTTTGTGATTCCAATTCTTTGTAACTGTCTCAGAGCAGCCCTACTAGCACATGCCGTGTGGTGTTTGTATCCCTGTGAACACACAGCCAGTCCGCTTCCAGGCTTTGTTCCTCTGTGTGCTTAGTTTTAAAGACAACTTTGAAATAAACAATGAAATAAACGATGTCACTAAAATCTTTGAGGCTCCTGAACACATTTTGCTGATATAGTTTTGGGGCTTGAGGAGACTGCATGTGTTACTAATTTTTGTTTTTCTGAGTTCTCAACTGCAGAAAACACCTGAAATACCCCCACCCCATTCCCTTTTCACTGAGGCTGAGGTTTAGGCCACAGCTAAACTTTTTGCTTTCCTTTTATAGTTCTTCTTGAAGCAGCCCTGCAGGGAAGCCCTAGGGTCCTGTTCCCCACCACCACCTGACCTCCCCCCCCACCCCCCACAGCTCAACCAGCTCACATCCATGCTTATTCCTACAGTCTCCACAGCAAAATGTGATGCTTTGAAATTTTTGGGGGGTTTTGTATTGTTTTTGCCTTTTTGTTTTGAATTTTTCCTTTCCTACTAAGATTATGCCCAGAAAAAAACAAGTTGTGCATGTTTCCTGCTGTTTCTTCACACCTTCTATGTATCACCTTCACCTCTCTGTTTTCTATAGTTTGTGCAAAAACTGACTGATTTAAAGGGGTTTCAAAGAAGATGTTTTAAATTGTTATGGGATTGATTTTTTTTTCCCTCTAGATTGTATTGTTTTATTTTGAAGTGGCAACTTTCTCCTCTATTGCCCTTAGAGTGTTTGCCTGTGCACTTAGACTGTCACTCTTTATGGCCTCCAGGTCTCAGTGGGGCATCCAGGAGGCTGGCTGCTCTGCTCAGGGAGTAGGGGGCCCAGAGAGACAGAAGCAGAACCAAAGGTGGCTGTGGGTAGGCAGGAGGTTTAGCACATCAAGGCTAGATCATAGAGGAGGGAGGGTGCTGTGCTCCTAACTACCCAGAGGAAGCCGTCTGAGCTGCGCACTGAGTGGCAATACACCTGCCTGCTCTTTTCCTAGGTGACAAGCACAATAAATACTACAGTCTTCACACTGTTTACAGCCCTGGGCACCAACCACCCCACACTGGCTCTTCATTATGGCTCTGCTCTTACTTAGCTAGTAGAGTTGGGGTAAGGGCAAGAATTTGCTTTTAAATTGGGTGAAGAGCCAAATAGCTACTGTCCCCAGGTGCCAGGACAGCCAGTTCTTTGGTTTCCTAAGGGAAACTTACCCTCTTGTCTTGTAGCACCATCCAGCCTCAGGGTCATGGGGACTTGCAAGAATGTGAATAGAAGAGGCTAGAGGAAATCAGTGGATAGGGATGATGGGTCTGTGAAGAGCAGCAGGGAGGATTTTTGACAGATCCCACTGAAGCTTAAGCACTGATGGGAGAGTGGAAGCAAGATTGTTCAGGGAAGGGTGACAAGGTTCAGCAAGGGATGGGGTGGGTGGGGTATGGAAGCATTGGCTTGCATCGTCACACCCAGGTGATGAAGAAGGGACTGCAGCAGAATTTCTGCTCTGGGACCCACACACACACACACACACACACACACACACACACACACACACACAAGTTGCCTAATATATTATGCTTGAGGCCACTTTAGTAGGAAGAAAAGGCAGCCAGGTGGAGGATCCCTGTAGGTAGGCTGCTCCATGTCCTGGAAGGGGTGGTGTGGGATGGAATGAAGCCAGAGCCTTAGCCTGAGAAAGCCTGCTGTGTGCCCCACAGTCTGATTGCACAGAGCCGCCTCTGTTGGCAGGAGGCGCTGTGGCTCCCCTTCCTGTGTATTGAGAAACTGTTTGCCAATATATTTTGCTTTCAATTCCAAGAGGAGCTCTGGGAAAACCTGTGGATAAAACCAAATGCCAAATGTTGGACATTGTTTCCTTTTCCTTTTCTCTCTGATTGTTTTAATTGTTCTGTAGTGGTTTTAATGGATTTGAGACCCTGGAGCGGCAGCTGCCTTTCTGATTTCCAGCTGCTTTTTGTGAATAATTTAAAAAGAAAAAAAAAAGAAACTTTACATTTTGGAGACAAACCTGTGTGAGTTTTTTATTGGTACAAACGTTGTATTTAACACTAGGGGTTTTGTACAGTTTTTTGCCTTTTCTACTAGAAAACAATGTAAAGTGATTTCACAATGTGAAGAGAAAAAAAATTGCCACTATGACCAAACGCACAGTCTGTTCTGCAGCAACAACGGGATTCAATCAACTCAAAGTCGTGATTCAGCCGTAGAAATGCTTTTCCTTGACCTTGTTTGAGCTTTCCTTTTTTCCTGTTTGATTTACAAAAGATGTCTTTTTTTTTGTGTGTGTGTGAACTTGTGTTGTACTCTGTAGAAAATTATGGATTTTGCTTTAATGGTTTAAAAAAAAAAAAAAAAGGGCAAGAAGAGCCCTTGTCGCTTTTCTTACCTAATCACAGTTTGTGTAGTGGATTAAAAAAGAAAAAAGTTGTTAAAAGTTTGGAGCAAAGAAGTATGTGTTTAAAAGGACTCTCCTTCCTTTTTTTGTGTGTTTTTCCTTTTGTCCCAGTGGGGAACCTAAATCTGTTTTAATTGCACAGACACACGGACAAAAAGTCATTTTGTATCTGCCAAGTGTGGTACCTTCCTTTGTTTATTTGCTATTAAACTGTTTGAGAAAAACTGATGTGTTCAGAGTTGTTGATTGCTGAGGTCAAGAAGTGGGGATTCAGGGGGCTTTCATGTTGGTGTACCTGATGGTGGTCCAGCAGAACCCACACAAAGATCCTGAAGGAAAAACAGTTTCTCTGCAGGAAACGATCTGCCTGACCTGTCTGCATGTTACAATGTCACCACAACATGAAAATACCTTGAACATTTTGGCAACCTTAATTTTTGTTAGTGGCTACCATGCCACAGAACTGGTTGAGACCAGTTCTTGGAGCTCCTCCTCCATTACTGGTGATGGCCCATGTGAATTCTATACCGTGGCCTTTTCTCCAAGCCTTTAGTCTCCAAGCCCAGAAGTACTTATACCAGGCTGGAGAGATGAGGCTGCTCTTCAGAGGTGCTAAGTTCAATTCCCAGCACCCACATTGTGGATGCCCTCTTCTGGAATGCAGGTACACATGCAGAATACTCATTAAAAAAAAAAAAATTAAAAAGTAGTTATACCTTTTAGATGTCTTCATTTAACTCCTCGGGTATTCTAAATCATTCTCTAATGAAGCTCTGCCTAGGGCTGCCTTTTAGTTCAGAGAAGTTGCATCTCAGCTACTGGGCCTAAAGAGGCTTAGGATCTCTGGCTGAACAATAGACCTGTTTGTTTGTTTGTTTGTTTGTTTGTTTGTTTGTTTGTTTGTTTTTTGAGCCAGGGTTCCTATGTGTAGCTCTGGCTCTCCTGGAACACTCTCTGTAGACCAGGTTGGCCTCAAACTCACAGAGATCCACCTGCCTCTACCTTCCAAGTGCTGGGATTAAAGGCATCCACCATCCCTACTAGGCCAGGTCTTGCTTCTTATCCAGTCCTTTATCACTGTCTTCCTTACACTTGAGAGTCCCAGCAACTCTGGATAGTCCAGTCTTCCTGGAACTGAAGCCTCTCTGGAAGCTAAAACTGCTACATGGGCTATGGGTGGGCCAGACCTCAACCCTCTTCTCAGTGCCCCTCTATTTGAGGTATGTCTGGGGAATGGGTATCATTTATTGAGTACCACCCCATAGGGATGTTTGTCTGTGTGCCCAGTGGTATACTAGCATATTCTGGGTTCTGAGAAATAGGGCAGAAAAGAAGCCTCTCCTTTAACCCAAACATTTCCTGTTCAGAATGCCATTTGATGTTGTTTGCATGTAGAGTTTAAAAGATCTTGTCACCGCGTGGTGGTGGTGCATGCCTTTAGTCCCAACATTTGGGAGGCAGAGACAGGTGGATCTCTGAGCCAAGGCCAGCCCAGTTTACAGAGTGAATTCTAGGACAGCCAGGGATACAAAGAGAAGTCCTGTCTTGGATTGGGGGTCATCTTGTCAACCAAATCTTGTCTTTAATTGGTTTTCTTTGTGTCTCCATTTGTTTGTTTGTTCATTCTCCACACCCCAAGATGGAGTCTTGTCATATAATCTCAGCCTCTCCTTACCTGGCTTTAAGAATGTATTTAAAATCAGAAGTTCTGAGGTTGGTGGTGTAGCTCAATGGTACAATGCTTGCTTAGGACATCTGAGCCCCTGAGTTTGATCCTGTAAAAACAGAACAAGAATTTTATGAGTTTGCAGATAGTTGCTATTACTAATGTTTGTTGGATAATTTGCTGCAGTAAGGAGATGTGGGAAACAAGTGAAGCTCATATTTCCATTTTTACATCATTCCTGGGCTATATTGTCTCCCTCTCCATTTACATACTAACAAGTCAGTTAAAAGCAACTGTGCTATGGGGAGCACTCAGAATTAGACTAGGCCATCCAGTTCCCAAGCCCTTCTCTTAACCACCACCAGGGAGGAATGTCTCAAAAGCAAATACAGTTGCAGTGACCCCCAGGCTCCAATGAGGATAGGCTGGAGAGGCATTTAGCACTCATAGCAGAGAACTGCAGCTCTGCCTCCTTTGGCTATTTTGATGTGAGAGGGAATTATTAGTCACTATTGTTCCCACAAATGTGCTACTACCACTTGTGAAAGTCAAGGATCCTTTGGGGTATTTCTCTACTAGATATCCTGTCCAGCTCTTGCCTGCCTGCCTGTCTGTCTGTCTAATCTAATCTATCTATCTTTCTTTGTTTTTGAGGCTGAGTCTCAATATGTAGCCCTGACTGGTATGGAGCTCCCTGTGTAGATCAGATTGATTTCAAATTCATAGTGCTGGTGAAAGACCCTCACGCCCTGACTCAGTAAAGGCGCCCCCCCCAATCACTCATGAGAAGTGGTCTTGATGCAAAAGCATGAGGTCTTTTATATTCCAGTGCACTGGGTTCCAAAGCCATACTCCACGTGGGGTAGAGGACTGGGAACCCTGGGTACAGGGTTCAGGCAGCTTTTATAGGGTTACAACAAAGCCCGCACATCACAAACCAATCATCTCATAACATCCAGGGCGGACCAATCAATTTGAACTATCCAAGCCTGTGCTTAGCCCAGGAAGTCTGCTTTCGCTAGGGCTTCTGGGTAGTGTGGCTCGGCT